ATCTGAAAAAAGCGAACTTACACTGTAGATGCAATCACTTGCCTGCTAGGTTTTTCCTGACAAAGTGGTTAAGTAACTTGCCTTAGCAAAAAGAGGTTTTCAACTACGGTATTTAATAGAGGACGTCCATGCCTACACATTGCCAACATTTCTAACATGGCCTTCCAATCTTCTTCAATTTTTCATCAAGCTCAAACATGAAGGGTATTTTTTTAATACTTGACTAAATTCAAGAAACCTTTTACTTACGAGGAATTCCTACTCCAGCAAGAGAGTTTGTCGACTGTCTTATTCCAGTCAAATCAACAAAGCCTAGATCTGCAAACTTTGCAATTCCAGAAGTAATTTCTGAGGGTAGGCGAGGTTTAAAAGTGAACCAGCAAGGTCCTCTACCCTATTTAGGAAGAACTACAAAATCACTTTAAACTTCATGGAACATACATTTGTAATTATAACTATACATTCACACAATTATACAAAAAGCTGAGAAATTTCTGAAATGTGATTGGCCAAGACTAGTATTTCGGGAAAATTTGACATACTAAATAATTTCTAATTTTGAAAGAATGGCGGAAAGATTTTCCGACGCGAAAGAACGGCTACAACGTAAGGAAAAGCAGAAAATGAAAACAATAAGAAAAGCACGAAGACCTTGATTACAGTTTAGTCAACATGAGCTGACGGAAAAGGTTTCAGTCCGGAAATTGTGAGCTACGACGCCGAGGAACTTGATCTGAAGCTGGGCAAGTTTTCTTGAAGGTCATGGTAACTTAAAGGGCTCGTAATCTGTTCATTCAAGATGGGGGTATCAAAAGTTTTGAAACTTATACAACAAAACAAATAGATGCAATTGTTCCAAGTAAGTCAAGAACGGCTGTCATCTCAGCTTGAGCTCAAAGAGATTTTTATGGGGAACAGAATAATCCCATAGTGAGGGGATGAAAAAAAGGTATGCAGATTTTTATAGTATATTTATTTCACTATCATAAAAACGTCTTACCACCTTAAAAGTCCGGAGGGAAAGAGAGAAATCCATTTCACTATGTGTAAGGTAACGCTTCAATTTCAGATCGAATAGAAAAGAGTTTAAGAATTATTTGGCTAAATTATACGATTCTCGGGACTCTATCGATCTAGTTTGGGTTTCACCCTGATGGGACATGAATATTTCAAAATTAAAATTTTCTTTTACCTTCAGAGAAGCCTGTGGTGGCATGATGCTTACTTCATAACAGCTATTCCCCAATAGATTAAGAGACATATTTCCTTAATAACAGGATAAATGAAAAAAAATATTAGTCTATGACTTAGTGAAGAATGATCCAATGATGGTTCATGGACCATGGTGCCTACCATTGTCACACATCTGTGAGTAGGGTTAGTTAATCTCCTTCCTTTAGCTCACACATACAGACAGACCAGCTGTTTCTCAGAATGTGATCAAAATAATCGGAGATTCCTATCCTTAACATGCAAAATAGAGGCACTGGGTGTGGTAAAACCACAACTACAAAAACCATGACTTCTGGTGGCTCTGGGAGGAAAAAGGTATCCCCAAATTAAATTTTGCAACTAAAGGCCTCTGTAAAGATGCCATTTCCTGCAGCTAGAGATCACCAACAATTGCAGAGCTTACGAACGCGAAGTTCGCACACTCATATCGTGATGACCGGAAGCTAAAACAAAACCTTAAGATACCTAAGTAAATAACAAAGGATTGCTTTAAAATGATAAACAGAAAGGGAAAACATCTTCCTTTACCAGGGAAAGCTGCCCTAAAAAAGGAGAACATTTTGCAACATAGAAGGAAGCAAATAATTGCTGAACATGGCAGGTTTTTCAGCCAAAATACTTGTGCCATGCTGGAATCTCTTTCAACCTATAAACTACAGTACTTACTGTTCTCACCACATCTGTCAGAATTATTCAAGAAAGGCCATGATCTAAAAATTGACCACCGATTACTTTCTTGAATGGAAGCATCAGCATCTATCAATTAGAAACAATAGCATTTTGAATGTGCATGTAATCTAATTTCATTTTGCTCCATGACTAATTAACAGTGTATGTCCCTATAATTAATTCCCTAGTTTAATTTAAAGACCACAATCTTATCCAAATAATATCAATAACTTCAAAAACATAAATCTGTACTAAAGTTTGGATATAACGCGCGCTTTCATTCGTTGGAAGAGCGTGTTTTATCAGAGTACAAAACACGGAGCTGAGCTAAAGCTGCCACGTCCTCTGCCAATTTGTGCAATGTCCAACCATTTCCCAGACTTCTCTAATTTGAAAGTGAATTTTCAGAATAAGCGAGCCGGAAAGTAGCAACAGAAGAACCAAACAAAGCTTTGTAACGATGCCAAGTGCAGTAATTGACGTTATCATAAAGTGATCAGAGACGAAAATCGCCAAAAGAAAACGAAGTGGACCGTCCGAGTTTTGAAGGTTTCACGATCAGTTAGATTGTAAGCTTACTTACAGTAATAAAGCTCAAACACAGCTAACATCCGTGTAGTATATATAGTTTCGTGTTCGAAAAGAAAACTGAACAGAGCAGTTTATCTCATAAACTGAATGAGAACTCTTCTGTTGCCAGTCGCAGTCTATTGTCGGAGACGACCTCTTTGGAGATGCCGTAATGTGCAAACAAAATATGCAGTGTGTTGACGCTCTTCAAACTGGTCATGGTGCTCATTGGGATCACTTCTAATCATTTGGAGTAACGTCAATGACAACCAGAAAATTCAGCTCTTCCTTCTCGAAGAAATCAATGGGCGCACGCTCCCACGGCTTCGCTGGCCATTTCGTCGGATGTAAAGGTGCTTTAGGCAGCGGCTTGGCCACAGAAGCACAAACATGACAAGCACTGACCCCGTCTTCAATCACTCCAACCATTGCAGGCTATCAGACATATCTTCTTGCTAGAGACTTTATACAGCACGTACCATGGTTCTCTTGATGTAAGCCTCATAACAAAAATCCTTGGTAAACAGACAGTTCTCGCCTACGTGAAAAGTATAGCAGCAACACTGGATCCTTAACCGCCATCTATGGGCCATCTATGCAGTCATATGTGCAGGCTAGGACGGGTTCCTTCCTGGTAGCAGAAGCCACGCCTTTAGTAGTAACCAGCATCTCATCCAGGTAACTGATCCAAAAAATATTTGCTAATCCGTCATTAGCATTCCCTGACACAATTCTGGACAAAGCATCTGCATTTGCATGTTCAGCTGACTTCTTATACTCAATCTTATATTGGTATGTGGCTAAAATCAGGGCCCATCTTTGCAGTCTGGTCGCCGCCAACAGAAGCACCCCTGTCTGTGGGTCAAAAATCGTGATTGAAGGGCTTGTGATCTGTTAGCAACGTAAACTTGCGGCAAACTTCTTCATCCCAAACACAACAGACATCGCCTCTTTTTCAATTTGTGAATACTTATGCTCGCTGGCGGTAAAAGTCCGAGAAGCAAAGGCGATCGGTTTTCTCCTCTCCGTTCACCATCACATGAGAAATTACAGCTCCTAACCATAAGCGGACGCGTCACACGCTGGGAAAAGTGGTTTCTTCAGGTCGTAATAAACTAACGAGGGAGAATCTTGTAATTTCTGTTTTCTCTTAACAAATGCTCTCCCGCATTACTCTGTCCACTTCCGAGGC